TTTCGCCGGCATCGTAGTCGGCATCATCAGTGAGCTTTGCCATCATTCTCCGCACCCAACTACGAACTCGTCAAAGAGACAAGTGAAGTCAATCCCTCGACAACCGTTCTCCCCGATGACAAGACCAAGTTGCGACAACGAGGTCGACCCACTTCTATAAATCGAAAGTAGACTGGGACCATAACAGAGGCCACAACATCTTTGTTTTCATATATTCAATGACATTGAGATGCCTACTCAACTCACCATAGAAGAACTCAGTTTTCAGTCCTTAACTGGTCATTAGCGAACTAGGCAGACTAATTTCTTTTTCTCATCTTACTGATACGGATGAAGCAACATGGAATGGGGAATCATATAATTTCTGCTTTCATAAACCCTTGTTCCTATTCAAACTTTATTCACCCTCTTTTTTTCCTTTCTTCAATAGCTGGGCCAGGTTTTCGCTCCTCTCGAGTGGCGAGTGAGGAAGAGGCCCGTCTAGCGCACCATCTCTTCATTGAACAGGCATACAACCCGCTAATTCGACCAGTCAAAAATCTGACCGACGTTGTGGACGTTCAGCTTGGACTCACCATGACACAGATAATCTATGTGGTGAGTGTTTTGCAAGCCTGCTTCAATATATTCCTCCAGGATTCATGCCAATAAACTTCACTGGGCAGGTGGGAAAAATTCGTGTTTCGAGTATATATTTGAGACCATGATTAGATCTTGATAAAGATTGTTTGTCCACGCATTACGAGTATGAATTGTGTTTCTGACTGTAGTGGAAAGTATATGCTTGCTTCACCGACATTCACACGATAAAAGATGTAATATGGCAAAGATTTGGCTTGTTTTGAAAATTGTATCTGCCCTGTGACTCATTGACACCAATAGCAGCATAGCGTAATGAGGACATGTAGAGCCTAGATGATGCACGACCTGAATTAGATTCACGTCACGGATGCTGATGACACCCAGGCGAGGTAGAAACTGTAATCCAGTGAGATTAAGTGAAATTCAATGGCATCATGAGGTCTATTTGTTTGATTTTGGGAAAATTCATTACCAGTTTAAGCAGCCTAAAGTGACTAAAGTTATTATATACCTACTGGGGGAAATCAAACTATTTCTGCTTAAGTCTTTCATAGCGCGAAATCTGGAGGCGATTCTAAGTGAGACATCGACTTAAAATCGAGCATCATGAGGTCACGAGGTCCGCTTTGCTTTTGCAG